AAGGTCTTTTTAGCGTAACGAATTTAGAGGACGCGTTTTTGGGAGGAAGATTGTGGGAACTCGAGGTCATCCCTCGTCCCACGAGATTCCTTCAGGATTATCGGTCTTTTGCCGATTCCTAGCAAATCTCGTGTTTCTAAACACCCCTCATCTAAATTTTCGACAACATTCAAGCAAATTTTTGTTCCTAAGTTGAGGCACCATTCCTTTTTCAAGGCCAGCAAAATTAATTGTCAGATCTGGGAAAACTAAATTATAATTCAACTAGTGTGGTTGGGTTGAAATTTTCCCTGACACTGATAGAAAATTAGCAAATATGTGATTTTATTTTCTCCAAAGAAACACTTGGAATTCAAAAGTAAAAGAAATAAATGAAATCTCCCCAAAATTTATTGTTGGATTTGGTGAAATAAAATGTTTACTCAGCTAATGTGGTTTGGTGGGGATTTTCATGAAATTTAAAAGAAAAATGACAACATATTCTCTACAAAGAAATACAGTACTTGAAATTTAAAAATTTTAATTTTTTTCACATATCTGAATAATTCAGATGCTATTTTTTGAAAGCTGGTGTCGCCAATATGTCTGCTGGTCAGTTTTTCTGGTGGTAATTGACATAAATGTTCAATTTTCAATGCTTAATTGCTTTGAATGCTCTAGTTTGATGAATAAACAAAGTCAACTGTGAGGGTTGATGTATATTTTTCATTCTGCCTTCCTCAGGAAATATTTTGTTCAAATGAAGGGAAGTGAACATTTGACACATCCAGTTACCATTGAATGGAAAATAGCACAAATCCCATCAGTGTCAATATGAGCAGTAGTAACACTACTCCTCAGTCTCCAGAACCCACCAGCAGCAGTTATCCAATGATGACAGTGACTCCCAGCACAAATGGAGCAGCTCAACCAGTAGCACCAACACCAACAGCACCACCACCATCAATAACAACCATCACAACCACTGCTCAAGTCTCAGCACCTCCACCTTCATCCCCTCAACAAGCCCCTGCCAAGCCCAGGATTGTCAAGACAGTGAGGTTCGACCTGACCTTTGAGCAAGACAATGATGACCCAAGCAAGGCTGGGATTGCAGAGATTCGTCAGGTAGTGGTGAATGATGGGGATTCCACCCCTGAGGGCACTATTCAGTTTTTCAACCCTCTCAACCTGCTCCAGCAACACCAACAGCAACAGGTTGTGAGGGAGTCTGAGCCCAACAGCAAAAAGTGGACTCATGGTGAGACTTCATTCTAATCTCCATTTTTGCAAACCAAGTGTACAGTGTGGCCTTGCTATGTAGACATGTTTGTTGCTTTGACATTGTCCCAATGCTGAGAAAGCTACATGATGGCTAACATTTTCCCAAACACCTCAAAGTGAACTCATTAAATTGCCTATCCAGGTTATAAGAAGTAAAATAAGTCCCACAAAAATTCAATAAAAACTTTTCTCAATTTGAAGATACAGAAAATAAATGTGCAGAGGTAGCACAGAATCTGATCTTTTTGCATCAAGATGAACTCAATGAGCAAAGAACAATATCAAGTCCAGTGTTACTGTGCACAAATGATCAAAAAACTCTGAAAAAGCAAAGCATGTCTTTCATCATGAATTTGATCAAATGAAAAATTACTCATTTCAATTTTGAATATAAATAGCCAAATTTGTTCAAGAGATATTCAAATTTCAAAAAATGGAAATATCTCAGTTCTCTAGCATGATGTTGGAAAAGTGTCCGTATATTGAGACATTGTCTGGATGTCAGAGCAGATTTTTTGAGGTTTGTGTGTCCAAATGTTGAATCTTATTGATTTTGAAGTGTCCATACATTGGGGTCCCACTGTATGCAGTCAAGATTCAATGTAGTTCCAATAATTAAGTGCCACCCTCTCTTTATGCCACAAATTCAACCTAAAATATGTTCCTCTGTAATTTTCTGTAATTTCCCTTACAAGAAATGTAGCACTTGGATTTTTAGGGCAGTACACTTTTAAGAATTTCAATATTACTCAGTTTGGAATTATGCTTTGCTAAAATAAGGTGGAGTTGTGGTGCTGATGGGGGCAATAGCAGTGGCAATCATGGTGATGTTCTATGCCAAAACAAATGGTGACTCCTCCAATGACAACAAGAAGGGTTCCCTGGATGCAAGAACAGGGTTGAATGACTCTGGCTTGTTCAATAGTGACATCAAAGCCAGAATAAACATTGGGCAAGATGGGTATTTGCGGATGCGGCCATCTTTGGAAGGCCGGGCTATTCCTCCCAGGTCCAACAAGGGTGTCAACCACATGATTCAAGAGCTTCTCTATATTTGGACAAGTGAGTAACTTCAGATTCAGCTCATTATTAATTTTGATCTTTCCAAGTAAAATTATTGCTCAATGGGAAATTTTTCATTTTTTTGGCAATTAAAACTATAAATTATGCACTTTTTTAGCAAACAAAGACTCAAACTTTTAAAAGTGTGCCAAATGACAATTAACTATTTTTTTGCTCACACATGCCTTCTTTCAGAATTGAAGTTATATATCTGTGTATCCCCCAAAATCAGTGACCAAAAATCTAACTAACTGCATGTTGAATTTTGAAGCATTAATGTAAATTTCATGGAAGCCTCAGATTTTCAATTGGTGTTTTGAAAAATGATAATTCCATCACTTCTAAAGCATTTCATGTGAGCCTCAATTACTTTGTTCTTGTGTTTGCAGCCTATGAACATCAGGATGATGCTGTGGATTGTCCTTCAATCATGATGCCAAGAGCTGACCATCCTTGCAGATTTGAAATGCCACTCGTGGGTGAAAGTTGCAGACCAGAAAATGCTTTTGGGTATCTGGACTACAAGCCTTGCATTTTTTTGGACCTGGTCCAGGTTTGTTTCTTATGTGAAAACAGTCCGTTGATTGAAAAAAGAAATTTTGGTTCCACAAAAGTTTGCTTTTTGTGTCATAGTTTGGAAAAGGTATTCACAGTTTATGGGACTGCAATCCATTGATTGGCAAATTTTAGCTCAGTTTAGGATTTGGTCTTTATTATGAGTGATTCCATGTTTAAAAAATAATAAGCAGTATTTTTTGCTTGATTTGTATGTTTTTGGGGACACTTTCTGAAAGAATTTTCACTGTACCAGTAAAATGAAGTTTTGAAACATTAAAACATTTTTGCAGACAGGAGAATGGATACCAGGTCCTTACTACAAAGGATACTCATCAGAACATGAGACTCCATTGTGGGCTCCAGTGAATTGTTACCTTTGGGTGAGATCCAAGGAAGGAGCAGCTTTGCAGCAGGGATACTTGAGTTCCATTTGGCCCAGTTTTGGGTTTCCAAGGTGAGAAACTACTCAAATCATTTCTTGAAATAACATTCCTGATTCAGGATTTTTTTTTTCAACAAACAGGTGGTTTTTCCCTGCATCAGCCTCAACCAACTTTTATTCCCCAATGGTAGCAATCCAGTTAGACTTGGCTGACCTTCCTCCAAACTCGAATTTTGTGACTCTCATGTGTCAAGTAAGTCATTTATTGAAGAAGAGGTCTGAGAAACAGGTCAGCTCATTTATTCTGTGATGTTCTCAGGTCATGGCCAGCAATGGGCGGCTTCTGGCTGCAGACACCACCTGGGCCACCATTAGTGTGGCTGAGATTGTCAAAGAGCAAATCAACAAGAAAGCTATTGAGCGTAAGTGAAACCACCTCATGACAGTCTGGCAAAATAATTTGTTGAACAAGTCTCATAATTTATCAAACTTATTCTTAGTTTTTCCAATATTGAAGGTATGTAGTTTGGATGATGGGATGTGGGAAACAGTGTGTGTACCTTGTGAATACTGAAAAGCAGCAAATGAAGCTTGTTTATCAATGTATCTATCTAAAAATATCTGTAGGAACGTATTTTCAGCATTAAATGAAGTGAAATGCTTTTATTATATGTGCCTCTTAAGTCTGTCCATCTGAGTTGTCAAATGTATTGTTCTGTCAGGAACTTGATTAAAATGTTTGGTCATCCAGGCTTTTAATTCAGAAGTCTGAAAATACAAAACACAAACCAAGTTTCTGGTCCATTTGCTTATAATTTCATAATTTTACATCTTAGGAAATCCCATATGTTGGTAACTTCTTTCTCATCCCTTTACTCATTCCATCAAACTTCACCTTCATCAGCCCTGACCAAGAATTGGTACTTTTTGAAATGCCGTATTTCAGTACCCTATGTTCATCTGAGGTCTGGGAACTGGGGAATATAGTTTGTATTGGTGAATTTCTCAGTTATTTGCAAGATTTTCCAACAGAGCTTTATGAAGATTCAAAGTGGGGCAAATGAGCCTTATTTTCTCACAGTAATGTGATGCAGTTCCACTTTCCCAATTTCAACCTGGGCAAGCAAAACTGGATAATCAGTAAGCAAATTATGAAATATTATGTTGATAGGGAAAAGTCTGTGATAATTTTTCAAAATAATTTCTATTGTAAGCTTTCAAAGATCCTGGCAAAGACTTTATTGAAAAAATGCTGTATAATATACCATCATCAGATACACATTTGAGATTCATTAAAAGTAATTTATTAATTTATTTATCCAGTGTTCCCCATCATTCAGGAATTTGTTTCTGCAAAATCTTCTCTTCTCTTTTTAGAAAAACAATTGTAGATCATCAATCAATGCTCTGATTCCTGTAAAATTGAGTTTGACAAAGGAAAGATTGCTTATGATGTTAAAATCATGTGTGATTTGTCCCTGGGAATCTTTGTTGCTACTTTTCTGCCAAATTTGTTTGCTCTATATGCCCTGTAAAAATGTCCAAATATTGCCCAGCAAGTACTGCTTTGATCAATGGATTACTATTTCAGAAAATTGATTTTTCTGCATCAATTTATTCTAATTTTAAGATTAGGTCAATATATTGTTCAAATGTTTCAAAAAAATGAGTATTCTTCTTTTTTAATCCTACAAGTGCAAGATCCTTGACAGAAATTATAATTTTGCCCAAATGTTGGCGTTGTAACAATGACAAGACTAATATAGGAAACAGCACTTTTGTTTCATCACTAATGCTGGCGGATGGCGATTGGCATCTTATTTAGGTTTTCCATAAAATTTAACATAGAGGAGATTTGTTTCATTCAAAATTTTGGCGTTTGCCAATAAAGGGTGGCGCTTTATCAGGGGGCGTCTTAACAGGGTTTGACTGTACCTGCTTATGCTGAAGATTATTTGGAGTGCCAAAGTAAGTATAAAAATCATTATTTCTTTTTTTCAGAAAGAAAAAGAGAAGAAGCAGCTGCAAAGGCAGGGAATGCTTCGCTGAGCGATTCTTCTGCATCCGGAGAATCGGGACTCGGTCGCGGCCTTGGCCTGAAATCACTGGCATCTCAGAAAACCGGACTCAACAGGAAATTCAGCAACTCGTGACCAAAATTTTCTCGCCATCATTCATTCATGAAAATGAGAAAAAGAAACCTCGATGATGTTCACGTCGGCTCCCATTTTTATTTTCTTTAAGGAAGATGAATCCAACTTTGCCATTTATCGAAAGCGGCTTTTATTTTTCCACCTTTTATCCTGCTGCGAATGCTTGTCAAAAAAAAAAAAATTCACATCTGCTGGGCCAGTCACAAAATTTCCGTTTTCGCCAATATCCCAATTTGAAAGGATTTCTCTTTTGAAATTTTTTTGCAATGTTTTTTTTTTTTTGCGCGTGATAAATCGGGTCCAAAAGTGCCTGAGAAAGAAAAGAAAAAAATACTGAGAGGGCAATTTTGTGTTTTTTGTTTGTTTTTTTTTGTTTTTGTCCTTCGCCTGCTTCATTCCAGAAGAAAACGTGGCTGCGCACAGTTGTCAATGTTATAAGCTCCGAGTTGCAAAAGATGATTTTTCTGTTTATTGTTGAGATGACGAATGGTGCTGTCAATTTTTCGTTTTTTTTCGACGAAAAGGATGAATGTGTCTTTTTTTTGGGGTAGAGGAAAATGCTTCATCTTCTGGGGCGAATTTGAAGAATGCATTCCTCTGTGCTTTCGTAGAAAAAATATACTTCATATTGTTCATTTCTTCCAGGGTATTTTTTTTTTCAAAGTGATAACGTTGACAAGAAGTTTTCCCTGGAATAATATTGATATATATATACTCAAGCGCCACGAAAAATTTTTTCTAATGTAAATAAATCTCAGAAAGTGAGATTTATGCTATTCAAGCATACATTTTGTATGCAAATTTGGCAATTTTTTGGCGCGCTTCATACTTTGAAGTATTTAAACACTTTCAGTGACTTATTCATTCCAAGGAATAATTTTTTAGGGACTGGAATAAACGAAATATGTACAGTATTTAGGCTCAAATCGTACCGGTATATGACAATGGGAAACCAAAAATAGTAGAGCAGATTAAATTAAATTGACATTAGTAAATATCCCATTTTCATTCTTCAGTATTTGCAGAAAAACGCCACTTTGGCCGTGTGCTTATTTTTTCTCAATAGAGGGGAAAAAAGATTATCAGAGCTGGGCAGGAGAAAAATGAATAAAATGCAAGCATACTTGATGGTGCTGCAGTTTTATGTCATGCGCAAAAATTGCCAACCTTCTTTCTGCAAACTTGTTTTTTAGCGCAAATCTGTGAAGCAGAGAAAATCAGGCTTTGACTTAAGGAAGTTTTGAGTTATGGAACCAAGCATTTTTGTCATGGGAAACATAAAAGAATCGCACTAAATTGTAAAGGCTGATATTCTGGCCCTTAAATTGTTTCTAAAATGAATTGAATGGATGATGACCATTGAGGCAGGGGTTCATTCGCCATTTTGTAGTCTGTCACATCCAAAATACATCAGATTCCATTTTTCTTGCTTTTTTTATTGCTGCTGTGTCAAGAAAATAATAGCTGAAAGGCCTCATAAAATTCAAATTATGGAAGTTTCAGAGGAAAAGCCTTCTTATTGAGGAGGTTTTTAATGCATTCCATATAAGAGGGAATTCAGATGGGGACTTTAAAAAATTCAACTCACGCGGGATGTATTTGACTTATCAAGATTTCACTTATCAAGGTTCAACTGTTGCTAATGTAGAGGCAATTTAATTGGGATATAGTAACCATCAGTTTCCATATGTTTCAGACCTGTACTTTGGTCATTATGTTACCTTTGACAGTGTCTGGTTTTTTTTCTTTTTTCCAATGGTGCATTCTTCTTTGACCAAAATTCACCATTGACTGAGTTAGTTAAGTGGTTCATGTGCATAGCCCTTCAGCCTAGCAGAGAAAATCTGGAATAGAAATACTTTTGAAACTTGAGTACACAGTGGTAACTCTTAGTACAAATACCTGGAAGTAATAGGAAGTAATACAAACATTCAGTATGCTACAAGAGTTTGTTGTGCCATTTTTAATCCTTATTGATCTAGCTATGAACAAAATCTGGATGAATAACCATTAAATTCTTCATAACAACAAGAAAATCTGTTCTGTATGGATCCTTTATTCAATTGAAGAGCTGTATATTTAAAAAAAAAGATTGTGCTTGTACAAAATATGTTTATTGTATAAGGTACCACTGTACTGATGCCAGCTGAAAGATGGATGACTTATGTATTGTTATCCCAATTTTCAAGAATTTTAACTGAAAGAAACTTTTGTTTTGCAAAAAAGTCTTTTTGCAAAAGAGATTACTCTTCCAGTAGCGGTTAAACTTTTTGTCAAGAAGATTCTACTTCTTTGTGTCCGGTCAGCTGCAGGTTGGTCAATTCACGGTTGCGCACCCGCCGGTTGTCAAGCGCCAGTCAGTCCAACCGCCAGCCAGGTCAGTTCTTGGACTTGCCAATCCCCAGCCCACCAAACTGCGGTTTGGTCACCCAATTGTCAGGGCACCCGAACAATTGGGTGACAAGAATCATGCTGATTCTTTTTCAGAATTCAGTAAGCAGAATGGTATCCTACCAAAGATTTTTTTCAGAATTTCAGCAATGTTAGGTTAGGTTAGGTTAGGTCAGTTTATGTTATGTTAGGCTAGGTTAGGTTAGATTAGGATATGTTAGGTTATGTATGCAGTTTGGTGGACTGGGGATTGGCAAGGCCAAGGACTGCCCTGGCTGGCGGTTAGACCGACCAGCGCTTGACGACCAGCAGGTGCGCAACTGTGATTTGAAAGGCTGGCAGATGACCCAGTACCCTAGTTCTTATGGCTGGGGATTGAAATGAATACAACTTCTCAATTTAGAGTGCAAAAATTATATTCCATGAACATATACAGTGAATGCCAGACCAACAATGAATATGCATTGAGGTACCTGTATAGATTCAAGCAGAACCAGACGCGACTGCGCAACTCAGTGAAATAAGGAAACCAAAAAGGGACAGGGGAAATGACTGCTTTCCAGACATATGTTTTGCACATGATGACCTTGTCTTTTTTGGAGCAGCAAGTTGCTAGGCTGGGAGTTTTGGAATGATGATCACAAAATAGGCAGTATAGTCAACATTTTTTGGGACTTAGTAAACAAAGATTTGGTGACAGTATAGCAAAGGATACAGATTACAAAATTCTCTCACAAAGAAAATGTTTCTTTTACTGCGAAATTTTCTCTTACTCTGAATCAAAATCAGAACATGATATGTATTATGAAGGAGCAGTGTGTGTTTTGAAGGTCAAAAATGTCAGATAAAAATTACTGCAAGTAATGGGTTAGTCTTGCTATTCGGGATCCCACTTCATTCTGATGCTTAACTTTTTCTTTTTGCATATTCAAAATTTGCAAAAAGTTCTCGTCATGTGCCAACGCATAGGATAATTAAATGACAGATTAAACTGATGTGTAAATTGTCAAACCCTCTTTTGTTGATAAAGTATTGAAATTTAGGAACAATCAAGTAACTAACACAATTCCTTCATATCTCAGTTGAGTTCCAGTGTTGGTAACACTGGATCAAAAGCCAGGTCTCGCAATTTTCTGCCCACATACAGGCGTGAGAAACGAGATATCAAAGCTCGGCTGGCACTGGGATGAGGAAGTCGTCCGTGGCAGTTGGAAAGTGATTTCACTGTGCTTTGAATGTGTTCAAATTCTTTGGAAAATAAGTTCCAAGGTCTTTCCCAAAATTACCTTTTTAAAAACGGAGTGAAAACATTTTCTAGTGCGCAGAAAAGTGCGTTTGCCCCTTTAATTGAGGCGAGCTATTTCAGACTCATTCCCTTCTGCATCTAAAGACCAGATATTTCATATTTTCAAAGCGAAGAAACCAACCTGAGTGCATTTCTTCATTCCAAAAAAAAATTCTAAAAATTTCCGGTGGAGCATCAAAAATGAAAGAAATTCGCCAAAAAAACAACCAAGAATTTTCCTCATCTCTCAGAGGAATGAAAAAAACCAAAGCCGATTTTGACAATGAGTTTTAAAAAGCTTGTGCCTTTCCAAGAAAATTCTGAGTCATATTTGAACAAAAGAACAGTATCTTCAGAAATGCTCACGCTAAAAAAAATAAGATTCCAAGTAATAGCCTCAACAAAGCGTCAACATGCAGCAGGGAAATCGATAACGTCATTCCAAAGAAATATAAAAAGAAAAATTTGATGCCCATCAAAATCGAATCTGTGTCCTTCGGTCATCATCAGTGTCGCCGATCCAAATGCTTCCCAACATGTATATATTCCATGTATTTGTCTGTCAGTCATCGTTTCCATTCAAAAGGTTTTTTCATAAAGTCTTCACTTCTGTTCTTTTTGGGCAACATTTTTTTTGAGGTCTTTGGTGAGTTTTTCCAAACACAATTTATAAGTGGGAATTTTTGGTGAAAGTGCCGGTGGTTAAAAAAAAAAGAAATTCAACTGCTGGCAATATGTTGGAAAAAGTTTACAATATGATATATAAAGAAAAATAAATACGGAGTCAAATAAACCTATTCACTATTGAACAGTTGAATTAGTCTTTTTCATTTTTTCTCACCAATTTAAAACAACAACCTTTGCTTGAATCAGAAACTCTGACCTTAATATGGACAGGAAAATATATATTCATAGCTGAAGGATTGAAGGAAAACATTATTTGAGATGATTTTCTGCATGCAGAAAAAGATTCAAATTTAATGGCACACCTCTTTTTGCAATATTGGCAGAACAATAAGTTTTACATCTCTGCGGACCAAATGAAAATGTATGATGAAGAGGGTTCTTGAGTAATTTGGTCTTTTGATGACCTTCTTGCCAGGAATCACAAAAGGTTGCCTGACAAATCAACCAAACCAAAAACACCAAAAACTGTAAACTGAAATAATCAAAAATTTTGAAACCTTGGTGACCATCATGGAAACTGACTGCCAAAAAACCTGATGCAGTTGGTACCTTGCAATTCACCCCCCCCCCACCCCCTGCAATTCATCTGTCCTGCAATTTGACAGTCAAATTTGCTTAGATGTTGACTCTTGATATGACCTCTGCCCTGCAATTCAACGCTCATGGAAATGCAAAACATCATATACACTAATATGTAGAAAACATTGCATTTGACATTGCCTTGCAATTTGACTGCTTCACAATTTGATCCTAGTCCAGGAAAGGATTAGGGTCAATTATTGTAGGGCACCACCTGCTCAAATCAGACTGCCCAGGAAACTCTGTGTTTACTGGAAACCTAAGAAATATTTACTACCTTTCAAAAATATCCTGTGCTTGGATCTTTGTTGAATTCCTGAAAAGTGAAAACTTCAATTACTTTTTTACAAAATTTTTGAACTGAAAATAAATACATTTGAAGACACTTGGTCTTGGCTGAAAATAGCCTATAAAGTGTGCATTCTGCTCATTTCAATTTATTTCTTTTTCTGGATCCTATGTATAATGATCCCTGACATTTTTGTCAAACCGAAATTAAATTTCATGAAAAACCTCTGTCTTTACTTTGCAATCGAGAGAATAACCTCTGCTTATATTTGATCAGTCACATTGAGCTAAACGAAATACTGAGCTGATGATTTTTGCAAACTTTGTGCAGTGCCCTTTTTAGCTCTATTGACAAGCATTCTCTCCAGTTTTCCCCTCTTGCTTCAGCAGCAGCAGCAGCAGCGAATCGACACTGACGATTCTTTTTTTTTGTGCCGTTTTTTATTCCTTCTCCATTATTTATGCTGTCGGTGTCGACCGATTTTTTTGCGTGCTCCTCACTTTGCTACGCTCGTTCCCTCTGCGCGGAAATTTGCGCGTTCCTCTGTGTTTCTTTCTGCGCTTTTCTTTTCTTTTCGTTTGCATAATTGTGTTTTTTTTCTGGTTTTGCAAACATATACCGTGGGTTCATTAAGACATTCTTGGGCTGAGAAAAACCATAGTGTTGTACTCCCGGACATTCGCTTTCTTCTGGGAATATTCGTGGCTTCGGAATTTCTCGGTGTTTCATTCACTTGAAATCGTCACTCCGTATTCCTTTAATGAAAACAATAAAAATGTTTGAAATAAGGTAAAGTCTCGGTAAAACGAAGCTGTTGGGACCGGGAAAACAGCTCCGTTATAAGGAGATATTCGTTATAATGCGATTTCAATCCATTTATATTGCTATTGGACAGAGACCTGATATAAGACTTCGCTGTATAAACAATGCGTCGTTATAACGAGATTCTATTGCATAAAGACTGTATGAAAGAATTGTTTATAATTTTGAAAACATTTTTAAATGTCAAAATAACTTTTCTTCCATTCGGAAATTAAAATTAAGTACAAGTTAATTCAAGAGAAGCACAAAGAAAATGAAGTGAACGTTGCAAAAAGTTGAAGAAAAAAAATTTTAAAATCTTCGTTACGATTTTGGTAAAACTACTGCATTTCAAACTTTTCTTCCACCAAAATTCATGCACAAATATTTCTAGAAGTGCTAATTTTCTGTAAAGTTCGAACGAAATCAACTGGTTTTGTGCGTTTGCGCAAAAATATTGGCTCACATGATAAAATCGTGCTCTTCAAAAGGGGGGAGAAAACCCGAGAAAATCGGAAACATGGAAAATGATGAATAAAGGAACAGACAGATATGTGAAATAAACACTAAAAAAAAAACGTTTGTGCGATATCATTTCAGAGAGCCAAAAAAAAAAAACCGAACTAGGCTTTTGGTGATCATTTCTCTCCAAAAGAGTGATTGAGTTCTCGTGACATCATCTATGATTCATTCACTTCCGCTTTATCGACCGGAAAGGTAATAAACACGAAATATTCTCGATATATACTGATTCATTATTATGTATAATTCGATGTTCAAATCGTTCAGCTCTTCGATATTTGTCAAGCTTTGAGAGATTTTTTCCTCATCATCATGAAATGATCAATATCCTCAAAGAGACAAACTGCGAAAAGAGCTCAATGTCAGAAAAATACAGTGAGACCCCAGATGTGCACATAATTGGCGGATGTCATGAAGTCAAAATGTCCCTGAGTCAAGTTTTGTTTTCCCTTAGACTTCCATTATATAAAATGTAGTTGGTGTATGGAAGAAATATTTGCCAGTGGAATCAAGTGCTGTACTGTTAAATACGCTAATCTTTTGTCCAATAATTTTATTTGTCTTGGACTTCAAATTACTTCGGGGTCCTTTTCGCAAACCGAGGTTTTCTAAAACCAAAATTCTTTTTAATATACAAACATTTTCGATTATCCCGGGTATAATGATCATCAGGTTGCCTTGGTCGAGGGGAAAACTAAAATACAACCCGATTATCAAACGAATCCCATTTAATTTTTGACAGAAATTTGGAAAATTCGCGGAATTTGGCAGAACATCACATTTTTTCCTGAATACAGTATGTTTACCCTCCGCTTTAATTTTTCGAAGTGAAATGAAATTTGACGCATGAGATTGTTTGCCTTGGTCATAAGATTTTTAATTAAATAAAGTCCTTTACTAATTTGCGTTGCTGTCACATCACACCAAATTCGGATTGACCATCAGTGACCAGGAGACGAGAATACAAAAAACTGCAGAGAAAAAAAAAAGTTGGCTGAAGAGGGGGGAAAATGGCGATTCGGTTCCGCGGAATGAGTGAGTGGAACATTTGTTTGCACACATGGTCGGTGTTGGCAATTATCCTGGAACAGTCCGTCGCGACACCGTCCACCAACTCCGTCGACAGTGAGTACACAAAACCTAATGCAATTTTTTCTTTCCCTTTAATATTTGCAAAATGAACCACCTACGCGGTTTACAAAGACCACATATACACAAATTGTATCATGTATTTTTGTTGTTGAAGGAAATACCTAGACTCAGAAAACAATAGCAACTGATACTTGCTTCGTCTCATATATTGGACCATGTTTACTCAGGTACTATATGTGCCCTTAATTAAGTAAAACAAGTACTGAACAGGTATTGTTGCAGTTGGACGCGGCCTCAGGACTGAATGAGTATAGGTGAGATTGTAAAAAAAAAAAAATTGACCTAGCCCATGATTTTCAAGGTTCTGAGACTTCTTTATTTTTTAGTTTTTTTAAATACACGTTAAATTACTGAATTATGATAAGTGAACACTTTCCAGTAACAGCCAGAGTCCTCAACCCATGATGGAGCCAAAAATTCACTGGACCAAAAAAAGTTTTTTTGAACATTTTAAAGCCATTATCCAAAATGTAGAAAATATGGGTGAAGCAACAACAAATTTCAATTTTTAGTTGGCCTGGCAAGTTTTTAGCACCTTGTGACATGGGTGGAGAACTCTGGCTGTATCTCAATTTTGGGAGGGGGAGAAAGACATTCACAAATTTGTCCATTTTTTCTACTTGGGTGGTTTTCCACCTGATTACATGGTTATCATATATCCTCATGAAGTTGAGCAAATGATTTTTGCCAGAAATACAGTACTTGAATGAATAAGCTATCAAATACTGTACAGTCAACCCCCATCTAACGGACTTGATTTGTGCAAGGGACAAGTCTGTTAGACAAAAAGTCCTTTACACGAATTCAATTACATAAAAAATTTCAATTTTCAACACTAATTTTAAACCAAAAGAAGTCTGTTTGGCAGATTTTGTCTGTTGGGCGGGAGGAAAAACTGCTTGCAGAGCTGGTCTGTTTGGCAAAAATCCCTTACACGGGAGGTCTGTTAGGTGGGGGGCCACTGTATTATGTGATATTCATGCATGTTCTTACATCAGTATATAAACATGAGCTTCTAAGTATGTGAAAATTTATGAATTTTTCTGAAGTCTTGATCTGTTCAGTTCTATTTTTTTTATATACAGTGAGACCCCCACATGGGGATACCTCAACATGGGGACAATTTGACATTGGTACATTTATTTTTCAATAGAAAAATCATTAAAAAGTCCCAAAATATGGACACTGACTTGACATGAGGACATTGCATGATGAAATTGCCAATAAATTTGAGGAAAATTTACTTTTATTAGGCTTAATTGCAAGAAACAGATATTTCCAACCCTAAGATCTATGCAAGAAAAATGTGTTGGTACTTTTCCCATCAATTTCCCATCCATTCAGCTGATATGAAGAAATCACTTATATTATTAAAGAAAGACTTCCTTCTCTCTTTTGTGACTTGGATGTTGTTTTTACAGATGCCAACATTTCAATAAACTGTACAATGCTCCAAATATTCTTATTGGGTTGAAAAGAGATTCACTGAACCAAATTCAAGTGGCAAAAAATGCTTTTTTTCATGGAATTCTGGAGAATATTTCTTCCATAAAACGCCAATTAAAAATTATGTAATGTAAGGATATATGGGAAAAAAAGACTTGACTTAGGGATAATTCAACTTAGGGACAATCTTGATGCACCAATCATGTCCGCATCTGGGTGTCTCACTGTATAATAAATCTCACAAGGAATTACACATTTTTTAATGTCCCCTTCATCATTCCATCTGATTGTGCCTTGAAAAAAATTACTGGCTCTCATCAAGCCTTCAGAAAACAGAACATTTTTGTTTCCCAAAAATGTCCCAGTTGATTTCTTCTGGAATGAGACGCATGACGCCATTAATTCCTGTCATATTTTTTCTCTGCCATAAAAAAAAAGGAAGTCCCTTGCCATTAACCTCTGGCACGCACCTTCACTCATGTGTCCACGGCAAAACGCGGTTATTACCCTGAACGAACCTTTACCGTCGCAGTCACAACGGTTGATCTCTAAAGTGAGCATCTGCGGACTCACAGAATCGTCACATGTTCAGTAATGGGAAAAATAATGATGGGGTCATCAGATCGTGTCTTTGTCCCCCGGGTTTCGGCGGGACTCGTTGTCAAGGTATGCTTTCAAATGAATGTCGAGTTTTTCTCAACGAACTGATATCTCAAAATTGTAGTAATTTTTTTCTATAAATATGAGCTTCGATTCTCGAACCTGTTCTTTTTAGTTCGTGAAAAATTTCCTCAAAATGTGAACACATGCAGTTGAGAAACGTCGAAATATTTTCACCTGAAGTTTGGAACAGCACTCATTTTCTTTCAACTGCCTAATTCTCTGGAAAGGAGGACTAAATCGAAGAATTAACGAAATGTTGAAATTATTAGAGTAAAGTGAGACCCCCAGATGTGAACTTGATTTGTTCCTTGACTTTGTCCCTGCTTGTGAGAATGTGCATGTACATGTTAAATCACATTTTCCCATAGACTTCAATCAAACCATCTTCAATTGGTTTCCCTTTTTGTCAAACATTTGGAAAAAGCCCCAAAAATTGAATGAAATTTTTTCCCGTCAAAAACAGAAAGTAACTGCACACAGCAGAAAACTGCACAAACTCTGCTTTTAGTATGAAAAAATAATAAGCAAAAAACAGAAAGGAAATATATGACACGTTTCTACTACCCTTTCAGGGGTTTTTTCTTCACGTTTTAATCAGACAAAACCGAACACTTGATCTCCTTTACCTATCATTCTGAATAAAACTTACAAACAATATAATCAAATGGCTGACTGTGTTCAAGAGAAATCACAATTTTGAAAAAATGGAAGAGTTCCCATTCATTCCAGAAATGTTGATAGTTTTTATATCTTCAGACATTGTTCAAATATTGTGAAATACTTCAGAGTTGCAAATTCTCCTTATTCCGTTGATGTGTGGCAAAGTTGGGATACTTTTTGGCAAATTTTGTCCCCATGAGCGTTGCAAATTAAAAATATCTGATTTTGTACCAAGACCTAAATTGGGAAAAAGTTAAGTATTTTTTTGAATATCTTGCAGAAAATTGTGCCTGTAAAACAAGAAACAATTCCTCAATGGATGGCAATTTTCCATGCATTCCCAGGTTGAAATTAATATTGGTAATTTCTCCAGACAATGGGATTTTCTGCACTTAGATTTTTCCCAGCTTAGGCCTTGGCAACCTAAGGGTCATATTGGGTCATCCATATGTCAGGGTCCAACTGTGTAAAAGTTCCCATACACCAAGAGGGCCAGAAATAAATTTTGGGCTTATTATTAAACTACAGCAGCTTCACTTGAACCAAGTAGGTTAAAAAATTGTTAAAAAAAAAATTAAATTCAAAAAAACCTCCATATGAATGGTAAAATTTAATATTTGAAGTCTAACACTTATATGAGACCAACAACTTTTTTATGAAGAAATCCTTATCCAAAAAGAGTCTTTGCGGGTTTCGTCAATATGAGACTGAAATGAGACATGAAAAATGATGCACCCTTTGAAAGGCTGTGATCTTGTAATATTTCTTCTCATTTTTCTAAAATTAATGAAAGCATAAATCTACAAAACGAAACAGATCAAGGAAAAATGGTGGTGATTGACGTGGATTGTGGAGAGACGGAAATAGTGGCAGAAGACGGAATCATCATAGAATTCGCAGCCCTCGGCGTTCTTCCGGGTTATCCACCACCAGACACGTGTCCGTCTAGGTTCACAGACCGGAAACCCGGTGGGGTTCATCAATTGCAGGACGAACCCGGCAAGGGGTTCAGCAAGACCGGGTTCGGACCCTCTCGGGGTTTGCTGGGCAATTTCAACGACACGGACGGACGGAATTTCTCGGGTTCTTGCTACTCGGAAAGTACATTGGCTTTACTTCGGTTCTGGTGAGAGAAAGCAAATTTACACATTTTTCAAATAGTGTCTCGGTCAATGAACTTCAATCAGTTAAAACTCAATAATGTAATCTCAAAAGTGTATTTCAACCAAGAGATGTAGAGCTAAGAGGAAAGTTTAATTCGTTCCAGATAACCACTCAGATTTCGCTGAAATGATTATTTACTCCATTCACTTTCAGAATTTATTACGCATTTTTTTATGAGATGAATGACAAATAAATATATGCTTTATTACTTATAGATCACTGTTTTTTTCAGGTGCCAGGGAAAAACAAAGTGTGATGTCAACTTCAATAGCCTGACAATTATGCATGACAGCCCACCTTATTTCTGTCCCCCTGAAGCAATGGGCAGGTAAAGTCAAACATTTCAACCTTCTAAGTCCAAAATATCTCTAATTTTAATGTTAGTCAATCCTGATCACTCCAATACATAGAGAGTAATGCACATAGGTATCATGCCACAGATTTTGTCCTGACCCACTTTAACATTAACAATTACAGTGCCCCCCCCCCCGCCTAACAGACCTCCCGTGTAAGGGATTTTTGCCAAACAGACCAGCTCTGCAAGCAGTTTTTCCTCCCGCCCAACAGACAAAATCCACCAAACAGACTTCTTTTGGTTTAAAATTAGTGTTGAAAATTGAAATTTTTAAATTTTTTATGTAATTGAATTTGTGTAAAGGACTTTTTGTCTAACAGACTCATCCCTTGCACAAATCAAGTCCGTTAGAGGGGGGTTGACTCTATAATCATCTGGCCCAACTAACTCATTCATCATACAGAAATCCATGCTAATATTCACTAGCAGCCAAATGACAGTAAAAAAAGCAGTGAGAAGGAACTGCGACTTGGAAAATATTTGCATTTGGCAAGACTTGAAAATTCTGATGGCTGCAGATTAAACTGTGCATTGAGTCAATCTCCTTTCCATACTGGGGTGAAGTCAGGAATTTTTGCAAACAATCACATTTCAGTTTTCCTGAAGGTCAAAAGGAGGCAAATGGGTTAAGAATAGGCCTGAGTCAGGAAAAATCTGGGACAGTGACTCTTTTTGTTTTTCAAAGTATATCCTGACTCTGCTGCACAACAAATTTTCCTGATTTAAAAAAATACACCAGAATTTTGCTTGACTTTGCCCTGCTCGGTGAACTGTTACTTTTTTTTCAATCTGTCCATACAGACACAAAATTTTGCGGCTAAAGTCCAACTTTCCTGCCCAAGGGTCAAATTGTTTACTTGGGACAATTTGATATGTAATTTATTTATTCAATTTGCATTCTACTGAGAATTCCTGGCCCTTGTGCCAGGCTGACTCTGTGTTTTACTCTTTCTAAATCCTTGATCCACAGCTACTTTTCATTTCTCCTATTGTGGTGACCTTTGTCCCCAACACTCTGTGCAGACTGGGATTCTACTACAGGAAGCCCTCCAGGCAGAAGCCGGTGTCTAGCATAGACAAATGCGCCAAAGACTGCACATTCCACCCGCCGACTAGGACCTGTTACTGCTTCACCGGCATCACTGGCACCTGGGCGGAGACTCGAGGAGAGTGCCTTCAACGTGGGGGCGACATCGCGCGGATCATCCGCGACCAGCAAACCTTCATCCCTGCTGTGCTCATGGGACTCATGCAGTACAACAACAGGAACCACAGGGAGTTTTATGTGCATCCGGAAACAGTGTCTAGCAGTGATGGTGCGAGACCAGCTCAGGTGATCAAACCAGACCAGCCTAGGACTGGGATGGTGGTGCGGGTCAATAGTGGCGGCGGTGCCAACAGTGGTGTTGCTGGAGACCCAGTTACCACCAGGCTCGCCAATGGTGGTGACCAGAACCTAGCAGCCATTTGCAGTCTGGCCCCAATCATCAGTGAAGTAGTGCAAGAGCCTCAAACTACTAGTGAGTGTAGATTTCCATGGATGGTTGTACAGGTGGTACCTATCACAAATTGACCTCCTGCAATTCAACCATCTCAGCAATTGAAGAGTTGAATGTTCAGGGAGCTTGACTTTCAATTTGATCTCTGCCCTGGAATTAAACCTGCTTTGGCCACTTTTTTTTTGCATTTTGGGCTGATATTTCTCAATTTTGCAAAGTGTCTCACAACTGGACTGCTTTAAAATTTGACCCTTGTTATCCCTGGAAATGTATAAGTGTATGTGTGTCTCCTTTTATCAAGGTTTGGAAATGATCAACTAAGAAAGTCTTTGCCAGACAAAAATACAGTCAACCCCCGTCTAACGGACTTGATTTGTGCAAGGGACGAGCCTGTTAGACAAAAAGTCCTTTACACAAATTCAATTACATAAAAATTAAAAATTTCAATTTTCAACACTAATTTCAAACCAAAAGAAGTTTGTTTGGCGGATTTTGTCTGTTGGGCAGGAGGAAAAACTGCTTGCAAAGCTGGTCTGTTTGGTGAAAATCCCTTACATGGGAGGTCTGTTAGGCGGGGGGCCACTGTAGTCTTTATTCAATAAACAGTATACACACAACAGTGTAATCAATTAACCACAAGGCACAGGGATCTTCAAGTAATCTATTGGGACCTGATGACTCTGATACTAAATGACTCCTGAGCTAAAATGCCTATCTTCTTTAATCTGACCAGGGGTTTATATACCATGGATTTGGGGGTAAAACTAGAAAAGGGAAGGACACCTGTGTGTGCATGTTCAGGTGTCTGTTTACAACTTCCATGCACCGGGGGTTACTACACAGTTAGGGAATTGCTATGTGCGTGTTGTTGGGAGTACATGCAAGTTTTGTTTAGTACACGTGTACTGGGATGTAAGAATATTAATATATTCTTTATACAGTATTAATCTATTATCTCTTCCTGGTGTTATTAATAACACCAAGTTTCTATATCTGCAGTAATGCAAATATTCTGGCAATATATTGGGGAATTATATCACATAATTTCCACCAATAACACCCTGGTCAAGCAACAGATTAGGGTCAAATTTCAAGGTATTACTATTACTCATCTTTCAAGTCCATGTATGAATACTTTCCGATGAATCTTCCTTATTTAACATAATTTGTTGCTGGAATGCAAATAAGTCTGCTCATGAATGCATAGTCAAACCTCTTTAACTGAAACTTCAAGGGACCAGCCAAACAATTTTCAGCTACTGTAGTAAAGTTTGGAATTGGGAAATGAGTATTTTTGTTTGGGGAACAAAAGAAGAAGTAAACAGGAAATTGTAATTGGTGATATTTTTGGCATTGCATTGCTTTATTTGCCAAATTATTCTTTCACTTCCTTTCAAAACACACCAATTTTTATTGCTTTTCTCTTTCCTGTGTCTATAAAATAATATCTAATGGGCCTCAAGAAAATTTGAGTTATGGAGATTTGAGGGGCAATTTTAATAGAGGTGATTTCAAAGAATTCAATGAAAACTTTTGAAAAAAGTTTTTCAGTGCAAATGGAAGTTCTCAGAAAAAATGGTTGAGGAGAAAGAACTGAAATGTATAGATTACTGATGGTAACTGAAAATAAATATCAAGAAGCTTCAAAGCACACAAACACATACAATACTCGAAACACACAAAAATAATTTAAAAATCTGTATCCAGTTGCTTGTATATATGGGTCTGTTCTCTGTATTTTTTGTGGTATGCCATACCTAAAGTCTTTGATTTTCCATTTTTTAAATGTCACAAGAAAACGTTCTGATGCAATCACAGCTTCCCTCCTTAAAATCCCACTCAATTTGTGCTTTTTCTTATTCAGATTTGAGGCCCACTGTGTTTTCAAAAATGATTAATGTAAAGAGTGGCTTTTCAAGGTCTCTTTAAAAATCTCAAGAATTTGCATGTGATAATTATATATCATCACATTTTTATATGAAAATATTTATAAGATAGTGCTTCAAACCTTAGTAAAAATTTCTGAATTTTATATGAGACCAGCATCAGTGCCCAGATTATCTGAACACTGTTTATAATCCTTTCTAATCTTTTTCATCATTGATTTCCTCCCAAAAGCGCCACCAATAACCACTGAATCATCATCAGCATCAACCACCACCACCAGCAGAACAACCACCATCACCACCACCACTGCCACCACTGCCAAAGCAACTGCTCCTAAATCAACAGTGGCACAAGAAATGACAACTGATGAAGTGAAAACTAAGAAACCACCACTGCTGAAAACTAGGTTCTGTCGTGGCACGGACTTGAGTGAAATTGAGGATTCCTACGAATTCCCTAGAGCAAGGGAAGGGGAAGTAGCTGAAAGAAATTGCCCTCTGGGCTGGGCAGGAGTCGCCAGATGGCGCTGTGGCGAAGGCGGCGAATGGGCCTCCAAATATCCCGACTTTTCGTGAGATTTTTTCTAGTAATTTTTTATTTCTGCTAATTTTTGGAAAAAAATATGTATAAAGAGATAGTAGGTGTTTCAATTTCGGACTTCAATGGACGGAGTATAGTTTTAATTTAAAATATCATTTTTCTTCAACTGAAGAAACAGATGAAAAAAATTTTGCTCGCCAAATATTTTCCAGAGATTATGTTCTTTTTCTTCTAATTTTGTAAGAATATGAAGGGCAGCTTTTAAATTTGGCTTCATTTGACAAAGGGCTGTTTTTTCTACACCTATTTTTTCTTTGACTGATAAAAAAGATGAAAGAAATTCATTTTCCAATTTTTCCAGAAATTCTAAGGTCTTCATTTTTTAAATTTTTGCAAAAAATATCAGGAGCTCTTTCAATATTGGGCTCCACTGGAGTAGGAACAATTTTTTACATATTATTTTCACACGCCGTAAAGAAGCAGATGCTGAAGAAAAATTTGCTCATCAGCAAAAAATCTTTTCCGGAGATTCTGATGTTTGCTTTTTTCTAATCTTTGAAAAAAATGAAGAGCTGTTCCAATATTGGGTCTCATATATTGACAAAGCAAAGTTTTTTCACGCATCATTTTTCTGAAATAAAGAAAAATCCGAAATTTCGCTCGCCAAAAAAATCTGTTTTCAGAGATTGCGCATCGCCTTTGAATATTGAGGACGCCCTAATGAAGCTCAACAGTTCGGAGATGACGAACCCCGCAGAAATCCTCTACAGAGTGGCAAAAGAAGCCTATGAATCCCCAGTTTCAGGCTCAGAGTTGCCAAAAATCGGCGCATTTCTAGAACAAGCAGCCGATGAACAGGCTGAATACATCGCCGAACTCCCGCAAGAACTCGCCAAAGAATCCGCTTTGCAATTCCTGACACGGGTACGTTTATTTTGTATTTTAAAAATCAAATTTTTCGACGCATCAATTACATTATAAATCATTCATAGGTTTCGAATTTGACGACAAGTATCCTGAGGAAACCCATCATTTGGGAAACGATTCCGGCGAAATCCAAGAAATCCGCGGCGACCAAAGTGCAAAACGGCGTCGAAAAGGCCGCCTTGCAGCTCGCGAGCAAATTGGAGGAAGGAGATTCGCGGAAAATCAGCACAGAGGGAATCAGTAATAACGGCACACTCTTAAACTCTCAGAATTTCTCTCGTATTCACAATAATTCAATTCCATTTAAGGCATACGAACGCTGAAAGAGGCATTTAACCCGAGCTCTGTGAAGGACATCGTCTTCAAGTACAACGATTCAGAATTAACCATTCCTGCTGAATGGATAAATTCCATGATGGATCCTCGCAAAAAGTCGCTGGAAGTCGCATTTTTCGGCTACAATGATTTGCACAAAGTCTTGGAGAGCTACAAAAATATGGAAGGGGAAGAATACTTTGAAAACGGCGATGACGAAATGCAATCAGTCGACGGATCTGGGTGAGCAAAATTCCCTGCAAAAATATGAGCATATTTTTAAAAATAAATTCAAGTCATCAACCAATTGTCACTATTTTTTCTAGTCCTTCGTAAAATTACTTGAAAAAATTTCTCAACCCTTCAGTGATAATGGAAAAGAAGAATTAATAAATTATCCTGAATTAATATCGCAATAGTATTGTGAAATATTCATGCTCAGTAATTAATGAATTACAGTAATAAAAACTCTTTTAAAATCTTCCAAAATAACCATGGATCATCGTTAATTTCTGCAGGAACAGGTAAACTTGTTAAGGATTCAGAATTTTCGCCAATAAACCCAAGTGCTTATTTTGAATACTTTCGTTGACTTTTCTTTGAGAATTTTTTCACGCTAAAATATTTTTGCAGAGTGCACGTTTCTTCTTTAAATTGGAGAAAAAAGTGATACTCACGCAAAAAAATTATTTTCAAATATTTCGAAACTCGCAGTGATCGAGCTCAAAGTGATGGAAACAAAATCCTGAAAATTTTAGTCTCGTGTCTTGATTTTCAGTTTTGAATTTCGAACTCCATCGAAAAAAAATTGTAAAAAACACCTACTTCTTATATTCCAGTCAATTTTTTGAATACAGTATTTTGTTTTGCTTATTCCCGCGTATGAATATACGAATTTATATATACAGTGTGGGTAAAGTGGACGGCCTGAACTCCCAAATAATTGGCGCGAGCGTGAATTTTGGCAAGAGGCGAATCGCCAGGATGGCGCAAGATTTAGCGAATTCGGGATACAACGCAGAAACGTCGGTGGACGGGCCACGCATCAAATTCCGCAATTTGCGAACGGTTGATGTCAACGATGGGAATGGGTCCGTCATGTGCAGTTATTGGCACATTGGCAGAGACGAATGGGCCACAGATGGCTGCCGAATGGTGCTTTTGACCCCGTCCGAGGTTCACTGCGTGTGCAATCACTTGACTAATTTCGCTGTCCTCATGGACATTCATGGAGCTGTCATTTCTGAGGTGATTGCATTTCAATATACATATACAGTATATATATTGCATTTCTATATATATATATATATATGTAGAGAGATTTTAAAAAACTATATATTGATTTGCAATTTATGTATTGAAATTCAATATATATACTGTATATATATATATATATATACCTTTCCAAGTTTTAATTTCAGTTTTTTCTTGACAGAAAGCTGACTTCAACTTTGTTGGTGAAAATAATGTTTGTCTTTCACATGCTGTTCTGAAAGAATATTTCTTATCTTTGCATTTTTTCATAGTTATCCTAATTTTGGGAAAGTCATCCCAGAATGTTATCTGGTGAGAAAAAGATGTCAAAGTGAGATAGACAAATTGAGAAATTTGAGAAGCAAATGGAAAGAAAGCATTAAAAGTTGTTTTTATGGAATAGATGTTTGAAAAATTCTGACTCACTGCAGTGCGTGTGTATATTATAAAATAATAAGTTGACGGTAAAAGAAATCCCCCTAATTTCAAGGCAAAATACTTTCCAGAAATTGTTGATCAATTTCAGTTTGTGTGGTGCTCTAACCAAATATTTCTTTATTTATAATCATCAACATACCTAAGTGATAATCTTGAATTAGACCAACGTTTGTTAGAAGTATAATGCAAAGTGAATATAAAAAAGAATTCGCTTCCTTTTCCCCAGACCATGAAAAAGGCCATGACTTGGATAACCATCTCAGGATGCATCTTGTCCATCATCTGCATGCTTTTGACTGCAACCATATTCACATTTGTCAAAAGCATTGGAGGAGAAACAGCATCCATTCACAGGAATCTCTGCCTATGTCTCAGCTTCGCGGAAATAGTTTTATTGGCAGGCCTGGACGCGACATCTAGCAAACTTGGCTGCAGTTTCGTCGCAGCGCTGCTCCACTACTTATTCCTTGTCGCCTTCGGATGGATGCTGGTCGAAGGGGTCCAAATTTACTTGATGGTCACTCAAGTAAATATACAGTTTAAAAGAAAGAAAACGACGAAGAACATGAACTGAAATTGACTGGATTATATTTTTAAAAATTGGGATTTTTTTTTTTCTGGCAGGTTTTCCAGTCGAAAAAGTCCAACAAAATATGGTTCGTCATTTGCGCATTTGGCATCCCTGCGCTGATTGTTGGCATAACTGCTGCTGCGACCAAAGGCTCAGTTTATGGAACCCGTCATCAGTACGAAAATTTCACCTTTTTGAGAGAAAGAAATATGCCCCGCAAATTTTACTTTTTGCAAAATAAATACGAAAATTTCTTTTTCAACAGTTGCTGGTTTGAACCAGGATCCGCTGCTTTTCTCTCATTCGTTGTGCCTTTGGCCGTCGTGATCACTGTACGAATTCTTCGTTTCTTTATTCGTGGAATCCATGAAATCATCGGAATTTTTTTTTGGGTTTAGGTTAATGCCTTCATATTGATTGTGGCACTGCGGAAAGCAACGCATAGGAACCAGAAGAAGCCCTTGGATACCCGAGATGAAATCCGGGTCTGGGCAAAAGGAGCCACTTCATTGTCATTTCTTTTGGGTTTGACTTGGATTTTCGGCTTCTTCATGGTTGGACACGGTTTGTACAGACTTTAAAATAATTAATCATAAGCATAAATAAATAAAATAATTAATCATACAGCGTGATCTCGTTACAACGAATCTCGTTTGAACAAATGATCGATTACACCGAATAATTCGTTGTTTAGGTCCCTGTCCAAAAAAGTTGCTGCAATGTTAGCTGAGTTCGCTTATAATGGATGTTTTCCTTATAACGAAGAATTTTTAATGGTCCCATTGGCTTCGTTGTAACGAAATTTTATTTTATATACACATATAATTTTTTTACTAGTGTTCCGAAAGTAAAAAGATTTTTTTATGTTGAAGATTTAAATTTTTACTGCAAAGAGAGGCGATTCATTCTCAGCAGTTTTGAAAAATTAGGTGATGTACTCAGAAGTGAATAAAGAAAATTAGATTGAACCAGTGTGTGAGAAATTGTTTCTGAGTCAGATTTTGAGTCGTGTTTTTGGCGCGATTTATTGGTCATCCCCAAAGTTCAAAACTTTGGGGATTATATTTCTGAAAGGGGTGCCAATGGATATTGGCGCGCCAAAAGACGCATGGTTCAGACCAGCTGGCGGCAGTTAAGTCTTTTTGGCAAAAGTGTATCAAGTGCTGTTCCATACTTTAAAACGGTCTGAAAACACATTTGCGCTTATTCCGGCAGGTCGCGCGCCTGCCAATTTGACTACTGATTTCTTTCTGCAAACCTGACTCTCTGAAAACAATTCTTCAACCACTTTCTGTAAAATAAGAAATCTCTGCATACCTTTCCAAGTACTTGCATTTCTCTTTTGGAGTAATTCTTCCAGATAAAATTTGTGCACAGTGTTCCAATAAATTTCAAAAATCATCGAGGAAAATGTTTTGAGACCCATTTTTTTTTTTTCAAAGAACTCCTGCTCTCAATTTTTCAAAAATTGTATATCTCGTTTTTTCTCAGAGCAATTTTGTATGTTCAATTTGAGATTATGACTGATTTTAATGACTATTGATGAGGAAAAAAATTGTGCGAATTGTCTACAATCATTTTTTAAAGATTTTAACATGCGGGTAAAATATTTTCAAGGGTTGAATTTTAAATACCGTCAGCAGAAATTCGCAGGGCAATTGCTTGTCAATTTTATATGTCTCTCCTTTTGAGAGTGCAAAAAATGAGATTCAATTGTGGGTGTCATGTAATTTGAATTAATATTGTACCTGTATTTTTTGTTTCAACAGGAAGCTCAATAAGCGCAATTATTTTCACTGTCCTCAACTCGACTCAAGGGATTTTCATATTCTTGTTTTACGTCGTCATGAACAAACGAACCAGGAGAGAGACTCTGAAGAAGATTGACAGAACTTTTGTGAGTTGACAGTCTTCTCATCAATGCAGAGGCGTATGAAATATTCTAAATTTCTTGTAAATTTTATTTTATTTGCAGCCGATTTTCCATCCACTTTTGGCACAATTCGTTCCGGAACTTTCAACTTCCGGAGGCACCAAAAAAGGAACTTCTTCTGGCACAAGGACCACTTCTGCTAGTGGGGAACATTCAGTGAGCAAAGTTTGCAGGGAAAACAGTGAGTTCAGCTGACATGAATGGAATTTCAATTGGAAATCATTCATAGACATTTTTTATACTGTAAACTTTATTAATGCTGTGCTTATTTCCTTTTTAAAAAAAAGGAAATCAAGTTAATTGCTGGTCACAAAATGTATGAGAGTTTTGGGAGTTCTTAAATCAGTGAAAAAATCGTTTTACTGTTATATTCTTGCAGCAGTTCTGTGAATAAATCAGGAAAACAATTCAATAGGCTTGCAGGAAATCTTTAATGAAATCTCATGAGTCTTTCCCACAAACCACTTCATCAATGGGAAACTTTCAAGACACCTGTTGCCTATTTTCTTTTTAAAATGGATCTTGTTAATATACATTCACCAGAGATTTTCAATATTTAATATACTGTTCTAAACTCCTGGCACACCAATACGAAGAGCTTCTTCTCAGTGATTTTTTTCATTTGCCTATTTTTATATACATGTTTTTTTAATGAGAAAAGTTAGTCATTAATAGTAGCCAATAAATTTAGCATGCAAACTGCCTAATTCTCACAGGCACAGGTGTAGAGACTCAAGTAATTTGACTCTGTATACACAAGGATTTTACAGCCATTTAGATCAAATTCAAAAGAGAGGGCAAAAAATAAAATCATGCACTTTTTTCAGTTTCAAACTTTGAAGGGGTATAACTCTTGCTGATAACATTTTCAAAGTTTTTTTCCTATTTGACTTCATATTAGAGCCACTTTTAAGTATTTGGCTGCTTCCTTGATCACTTGACCATCTCAGGAAAAAAAGGTTTTGAAAGAAACTATTTTTGTGGTTCAGAAAATTGTTATAGTGCTTGGATATGAGAAATTAGGTGATTGGCATTTTTTTAAAGGAACCAATAAAACATGTTGCAAGGCATTTTAAATATGATGCTTCCCAACATTGAAAAAATCAACTGATGGAGTTTTTTTTAAATATTTGAATGAAATTCTTGGTTGCTCTCTTGTGTTGATCTGATGAGAAATATGCTCATGTTTCTCAGATGTTTCATATATTTTTTGCGCGTAGCGTAATTAAAATATATTTCCCTTTTCTTTATTTTAACGACCAACAGCGCACAGGTCGACACTGAAATGGCTGAAGTGGAAATACACTTTGCACATCACGAAATCAACAGACAGTGCAGCTCCTTTCAGTTTTGACACAGAGGACAACGTGCAAAGTTCGCCTGAACGCTCTCCAGCCATCCCTGAGAACGACGGGAGCGACACCCAGCGGCAAATGAATCCAATGGCGAAACACAACCACAACGATTCGGACTGAAATCCTCTTTTCCAGTGTACATTTTTTTCCGAGGAAGCAGTGAAACTCATGCAATGTGTCTCAGAGCTTTTTTTTTTTGTGTGCAGAAAGTTTTCACTTTTGTTTTGCTTCTGTTTTTAAATCAATTAATTATGTGCTTTATATAATCTTGTTTTTGCACAATTTAACAATACTTTTGTGTAATGTGAGGATCATGTTTTCTTTGATCATTCAAGAAGATCGGAAAGTTAATTGTTCTGAAAAAAATTCGGATATCAATGTTTTATTGATTCAACAAAGTTTTTTTTTATGAAAAGAAAAAATTATTCAAAACATTCTTTTTTAGTACGCTTGAACATTTTTAGCAAGAAATGTTGTCCCAATGTAATGATTGCACAAAACGTTGTCTCAAGTGGGAAATGAAATCTTTCTCATGCTTTTTTTTTCAAACATGTAATGTGTGGTGTAATTTCTGTAAGGTCATGCAAGATAATGCCATGCATCAGGCAAAGGAATTTACCAGGGCACAACCTGGGTGCATGGCAGACATTTGCATAGCAAAAGTTTTGCTGCATGACCAGTTTACTGCAATGTACCAAACCAGTGGCAAGACAAAATATGCAAGAAAAGATGTTAAAGACTATGAAGTCTCAACAAAGAGAATATGAGAATGATGAATAAAACACAACAATCAGCCTGGGACTGGCTGGGAGCCTCTTTATAGAGGCCCCAAAAGAATTGAGTATTTAATAATGTCCCGAAAAAATAATACAACTCAGAGAATTCTGGACTTTACGCACACATACTTTCACACAACACAATGGTAAAATGGGATGTCTTGAAAGCTCTTCAGACTTCCAGAATTGGCAGTAGAATGGAATTCATTGTTACATGTTTTTGGAGACAGAAGAAAGAGAAGGAAAGTGGTTTTCCTTGTGGGCAAAATATTGGCCTCTGATTGGGTGATTTTGTTGGAATTGAAGATGGTGCTGTGCATTGCCCTACAATTCCTTTTGGTGCTGGGGCTCTGGGAAGGACCAGTTTTTGGGATGCAGCAGGGCAGGGGGGGATGATTATAATTAATATTTATGGGTGCCCAACTCACTCCCCAACAAAGGAAGAAGGAAAAGAGATTTACAGGAACACTTCACTTGAAGCTCTCACATGCCAGAGCAAATACCTGAGGATTCTCCCATTGACATGTGTGGCTCTATGTTGTGCATTTTTGTAGACTGGAGGATGGAATTTTTTTTAGCTAGGTTTGAATTGCAGCATCAGTGCCCACACTCTCCTGTTTCTATCAGTCCAATAAACGAAGGTTTCAGGATCTCCAGTAAGGAGTATCTGGCTGCCTAATGGCTGAGTGCCTGCATTTTATTGATTAAATCCTTTGTTGTTTTTTTCTGAACAGACAATTTCATCCTTTTAAAATCCTATGAATAAAAAAGTGCTGCTGACATTTTCAGGTCACTGACACTTGGTTTTATAATCTTATTTTTGATTACAACAGAAAGGAAATCAAGTACAGTCAACCCCTGTCTAACAGACTTGATTTGTGCAAGGGACAAGTCTGTTAGATGAAAAGTCCTTTACAAGAATTCAATTAAATACAAAATTAAAAAGTTCATTTTTCAACACTAATTTTAAACCAAAAGAAGTCTGTTTGGCGGAATTTGTCTGTTGGGCAGGAGGAAAAACTGCTTGCAGAGCTGGTCTGTTTGGCGAAAATCCCTTACATGGGAGGTCTGTTAGGCGGGGGGCCACTGTATTCCTCCTGTGAGTTTCAGGCTTATGAAAAATTGGAAAAAAGCTTGAAGCTATTTATACTCTTAGGTAAGAATCAATAAAAACTCGTTGTGACCTTTTTTCCCACACAAAAGTGAATTGAGTAAGTTATTCAGAATGAGTGGCTGATTTTTTATTTATTAAGTGCTGTTTGTCTAAAAGCACCAAATTTATCAAAATAATTTATGCATTTCAGCAGAAAATATTCAAAGTAGCGGACAAACATTGCAATACAACTACAAGAAAAGAACTATATTTTTTCATCAGCACAATATATTTCTGTAGCACATATAGAGGCCAACAGGATTCTTCTGTTTTTATTTTCGGATTGTTTGACCATTGAAAGAATAATTTCCGGAAAAAATTCCGCTCACACTCGTCGAGATTTGCTTTTTATCGGGTGAAAATCTGAAAGAATATTTACCGACAATTCGACGGAAAAATGGGTTTTATTTTTTATTTTTTGCTTTTTGTTGGGAATGAAGCTTTAATGGTTCATCACCATTTTAAGTCAGTTTGTTCAAACAATCAAGAGTTTTTTGAATGTGTCGACTCGCGTCTTCGTACGGGGGCCAAGTGCGATCGTCCCTCAACAAATCTGGTACTCCTTTGTATGTGTCAACCAAAAGTGCCCATAATTCCTTGAAAAATTGGATCAGACGAGGCACCACTGCTTCATAGTAATTCTTTGCATACAATAAAACACGAAAAATAGCTGCAATTGCTCTGGAGATTGCCGAAGACATGTCAGAAACTGCGGATGCAATTGAGGTGATGAGACCCCGGGATTCCAATAATGCAGGAGACTCGGAGGTATTTTCTTGATCAACCTCTGATTAAAAAAAGACGACATTTCTGAGCATGTTTTTCAAAAAATCATCAGTTTGGCCTATTAATTGTGGAGAGAATGAACTGAGAAAATGCCAGTGAAAGTTTAAAAAAGAAATGAAACGTACCCGCAATGCAAACTTCGACATCTGTCATCAGGGAGTTGACGTTCTTCATTGCCGAGCTGAACTTGGAATCATCCGCTCCTTCGATGAAAAAAAAAATATGCATTGAAGAGGAAAAACATTTCGAGAAAAAATTCAAAATAATCTACCTGAAATTGGAATCAGCTGAGTTCCAGCCAAGAGAACGAGGAAACAAGAAGCCACGAAATGTTTCATGACTGATTCGGTCCACGGTTCACAATAAAATCCTGCCATCGAGAAGGAAAAAATGAATCATATTATTGATTTCTCTCAATTTCAAAATTATGACCGGCATTTCCTAGCCAATTTTTTTCTTCGCAATGGAGACTAGAGGTTAAAAAATGCAATTTTATTACGTTCACGTTACATTATTAGCAGTGACATTTTGCAATATCCACAAATATGCAGAGCTACCTTTGCACACAATTTCATAAATGAAAAATGTGCTACCTTTGCAATCAAATTGAACAAATTTTTTTCACATGGACGAACTCGAGGGGATTTTCATAGCTTTGAAAATTCGCAGGGACATTTTTGAGTGAATTTTCTTCCAAAATGATGGATCAAAATTTTAGTACGAAGAACTTTGATAATTTTTCGTGATCGATTTTGAAGTTATTCTTGAATACAACTACATTTTTCCAACTTTGACTATCCCACAATTTTAAAAAATTCCTCACGGACCTTTTTTTTCCTAAATCTGATTTTTAAATTTCATAATATTATTTTCCCGTGCTGGAATTTTTGAAGTATATTTTGCATTTTTGGCGTCAAAAGGTACCCGAATTATGCTTGAAAAAGAACGGAGTAATTTTAATTTGTACTATATGATGCTGAAAATAGTTTAAAACCCAATTCCAAGCGTAGCAGCTGAAATAATGGACACAATGGCGTTGAAGAAATCCGGAAGTGAAGAGAAAAATTGTTCCCCAGCGAAGAGAAGAATGTGCAGCAATGAGATCAGTATATGGATCTTCACTCGAGTTTTCAGTCCAAATCAGAAATGATTCCAATTTTTCAGAAAAAGAAAGCTTCTATATATATGTATGATTTGGCAAAAGTCCACGTCATTATGGTCAAGTAGCCGGAGAATTTTGCATGCTAATAACCAGTCGTGTGCATGGAAATATTTCTTTCGTTTTTGACACCCGACTTTGACAGCAATTGACAAATTACTTTTATTTCGGCTGGTATAGGCGTACTTCTCAATTCTTCGCGAGCAATCAAGACATATTTTATGCAATTGTTGGTATGAAATCCATCGAATTGAGCGCGCAAAAATTCTGTGGATCATTGATGCGAAGTCTGAGGCGCGTTTTATAATGTCAGTTGCTGAACATTTTTTAAACTTTTTGCGTTGACTTTTTGCGAGGAATCTAAAAGTATTGTTGAGAACTTCGCAGCCGATTTTCCATCCACTTTTGGCACAATTCGATCCGGAACTTTCAACTTCCGGAGGCACCAGAAAAGGAATTTCTTCTGGCACAAGGACCACTTCTGCTTCAGTGAACAAAGTTTGCAGGGAAAACAGTGAGCTCAGCTGAAAAGAATGGAATTTCAACTGGAAATTATTGATAGACATTTTTTTGCTGTAAATTTTAGCATAGCGGTGATTATTTCGCGATTTTTTTTACAATGAACCCGAGTTATTTGCAGGTCACAAAATTTACGAGAATTTTGGGAGTTCTTAAATCGGTGAAACGTTTTTTCAATGTTATTCCTTACAGCAGTGATGTGTATGAATTGAGAATAAAATTCAAAAGGCTTGCTGGAAATCTTTTGTGAAATCTCATGAGTCTTCCCATCAAACCATATCATCAATGGCAACTTTTTAATACAGCTGTTGGCTATTCTCTTTTTGAAATGGATCATATTAATGTACATTCAGCACCAGACATTTTCAATTTTTAATACTGTATACTAAAATCCTGGGATACAAATAAGAAGAGCTTCTTCTCAGTGATTTTTTTTCCTCACTTGATGGCTGTTTTTATACATGATTTGTCAATGAGGAAAGTGAGCTGTTCAAAGTATCCAATAAATTTAGCATGCAAACTGCCTTATTCTCACAGGCATGAGCAAAGTAATTTGATTCTCCACACAAGGATTTTACAGCCATTTCATCCAAATTTAAAAGAGAATCAAGATTAACTGCCAAAATATAAAATCATGCACGTTTTAATTTGAATATTTTGACTTTTGAAGATGTGAAACTCTGAGGTTTTTCGAATTAATTTTCAGATTTATCTTGATATTCAAGCCAGTTGTAAGTCTTTGACAGCTTCCTTGATATTTCGCCCATCATAGAAAAAATTAGATTTTGATAGAAAC